AAGTTTCGAGATGGATGCAGTCTTTACTATCAAAGTTCTAGAGTCATTGATGTTTTCCGAGGGCTTGGTGGGAATGTTAAAAGTTCGATCTATCTAAGTTCGAGCGATCTAAAATTAAATAAGGATTAAAACTCATGCTAATTATAAATGATAAAATGTACGTCAAATACGAGAAAAATTAACGTCCAAAATTTCGAACGTCGTATTGTCAGTTAACTTTTCTTGAATTAAGTACTCCTACTACAGGATTTTTCTTCACTCCCTTCAAATTCCGAAATAGATGCAATCTTTACTATCAAAGTTCTAGAGTCATTGATGTTTTCCGAGGGGCTTGGTGGGCGCGAACGCCCATTACCACCTCGATGATCCCGGAGCTAGAGCATCGACAAACACTCGTAAACGAGGTACATACGCCGGAGGTGGAACCTTAGAGCGAAGTGTTAGGTCGGTCGGTCGGTCGGTCGGTTGAGAGGAACGGGGAAGGCGAGAGGGGGAGGGGAAGGGGTGAAGGGGGACGATGCACGAGAGAAGGCCAGACCAGGTTGGAAACTACGTGCGGCCGGTGATTACGTCGATCGTCGAAAGAACAAACTCCGGATTGGATTAAGCACACGGTGCTGCACGGCGCGGCACCTTCCCCATTTACCGGCCGGCGTGGCCGGCGTCGCCCCGCCACGGTTTACCATAAAGTTTACAACTTCTGTCAAGCTCCGCGCCCGCTGTAACCGTACTAGAATGACGACAGACCGACCCTTTTGGTCCACACGGGGCGTCCCACCCACGCGATCAGCTCGTTGCACGAGTGCAAGCTCACGGAGCCCACACTCTCCCGCGCTGCACTCACTCGCCCACACCGCTCGCGCCGCACCGCGAAACGAGTGCGCCGGCCGAGTTAACGACTACGACTTCTCATTGTGCGCGCGAAAACACTGCGATCATTGACTACGAGGGAAACTTTGGCTCGGGGGGGATAAATAGCCGGCAATTTCGGAACTCGCCACGGTTTCCTGCCTATACATATGTGTCGCAAATTTGGCGATTCTGAGAGCTTGTCCTAAGATGTTTTCATCCTATATTCTCTTTATATAAATAAAGATAGCTTCCGCTTTAATAAGTGCAAATTATTAGTTCGTATTATAATTACTACTGATAATGATTTCAATGCTCTACAAAATTAGAAAAGTCTCGCATATCGTGATTACACAAAATATTTTATTGAATATAAATGTATAAGTTGTTACAGAAAGCTTGACTTAAAAAAATCGTTGATTCGATCCCATATTTTTATCACAGTTTTAGTTTTAATCATTATACAATATTTAGCTATTTAAAAACATCTTAATATAAAAAATGAAATTACAAATATAAACATCAGTCAAATTATCATCTTTATTAAATGCTAATTTTATCATTAACTTAATAAAAATCATAATTATTAATTTCTTCCAATATATCAGGCACGAGTTTACAACAGAGATGAGGACGCACAAAAATGGACGCTGCCCCTCGAATGCAAATTATATTCAGCTATCCCCTCGAATGTTTCAAGGGTGCATCTATCTACGAGGGTCGAACCACCCTTTCCTTAATTCGCAACTAAGATGGCAGCCGACTCGCCGGCCATTTAGTTTCCCCAGCGATCCCGTATAAGGACTTCTTGCTCGTCTCTATATAAGCTCCTGTCTATGTGTCGGATTGTATGGATCGTATCAGGGGGGAGGAAGAGGGAGGAAGAGAGAGAAAGAGAGAGAGAGAGAGAGAGAGGGAGAGAGTAGTGCCGAGAACCCCGTGGTCATCGTCTCCGCATAACGTGGGGCAGGATAATTTTCTCAATTTCGCCGTGTCTCTCGTGGGGTCGGTCGTTAAGGGCTCGAAGTGAGATTCCAGGGGGTCGAGGAAGGTTTCGGGGAGGGGCTGGTAAGGGTTAGACCGTAAGATAGTTTGATAGGCTTGGTTGCCAGGAGACCTCTAAGGCCTTAGCCCGGCTACCTAATGCCGAGAAAGGCTACCCCAGGAATACATATATACCAGGCCCGGGCTTATAAGTGATCCTGCCTATGTACTCGCTTGCTCGCACTCACATTATTCGCCTCCGCCCTCCCCGCCAGCGCGTCCATCGTCCCGACACTCGAAGCGACACGCGTCAAATGAGGTGATAAGAATTTAACTCGTCGCTAAAGATTAAGACCGGCGTTTGCACGTAAAGCGCGAACGAACGAGAAAAGGTTTGAAGGAGAAAATGTCTGTCTCGTTCTACATATTATGTAAACTGTACAGAAGATATCGACATAGATTTTCTTTGACTGATTTAAAACTTTTCAATTTTTAACATTATACACGTATCTTTATGAGTTTGGTCATAAAACAAATTTCTGTTATAAAAATAAAGCTATATTTAAAGGTACTGTACGGAAATGGGAATGAGAAAGATATCGATTAAGTTAAATAAATTAATCTGGTTGATCTGGAATCCCACGAACGTCTCTGTAGCGCGAGAAAATTCAATCACAATCAACGACAGATAAGGAAAATGTCGAATGGCTGATTGTGCACTATAGACAATTGTGCAAACTAGAACAATTCCTAGGAAACTTGTTGAAGTTTCTTCACTGGAGGCGGGCGAATGTTCTCCACAATCGGGCGCTTCCTTTAAACGCTCGAAAAGTCGAACGGACGGACATCGAATAGATATCTGATTGTCGACCTGAGGCAAAGTCAAAGCGATTCATGAACGAATTCATTTAATTTAAGACGAAGAATTTATTCTTTTCTTTTTCTTTCATGATATAATCGCCATTAAAATAGTGATAATTGGAGAAAAGAATAAAAAATTATACAAAAGTATCATAATTTTCTTTATGTTCACATTGAAAAATTACGATATTTACAATTTCGAAAGATATTTTATATTTAAAAATATACTTTTGTAAAGATATACTTTTAATACTTTTAATATCGTTTCTATTTGTTTGCAATTGTAAAAGATATTTTCATGTCGCTACGATTAATTCAATTGCGAATCCAAAAAATCTGATTGTCGACTTGAGGCAAAGTCAAAGCGATTTATGAACGAATTCATTTAATTTAAGACGAAGAATTTATTCTTTTCTTTTTCTTTCATGATATAATCGTCATTAAAGTAGTGATAACTAGAAAAAAGAATGAAAAAAAACATACAAAAGTGTCATACATAATTCTCTTTATATTTATATTGAAACATTACGAAATTTCAATTTCGAAAGATCTTATATTTAAAAATACACTTTTGTATGTAAAGATATACTTTTAATATCGTTTCCATTTGTTTGCAATTGTAAAAGGTATTATCATATGTCGCTAATCCAACTGCGAATTGAAAAAATTAAAAAATTTTCCAAGTTTACAGCTCATACATACACGTGCGCGGAAAAAAACATTCTGCCGTTGCGACGCTGCGCTGCAGCCAAAGATCAGAACGCGTCTGACCTCGATGCGAGCGAGCGCGTGACAGCTTAAGCAACGTCTCGACCGGGTTTACAGGGTTTTCAGCGAGTCGCTTCGCTTCCTGCGAGCGATTTTAGCGCGCGGGCATTAACGTCGCGTAATGTACCTCGCATGCATACCTAGCAGACAACGAGTATAAGGCCGGAGATACTCCCGCGGCCAATGGCTGGACGTGGTAGTCCTGTACAGAACAGTTTTACCGATAAGACCCGCCGTGTTTAACAGCCCCCGGCTAAAGCACCGCTCAAGCCCGCCCTCTCCTCCCATCCTTCTCCTCCCCCGCCGCCGCCGTCGTCGTCCCGCGCGCGCGACCCACACCCCATGCTCATTCACCATAGAACGTATAGACCGTGTTATATTATATATATCGCGTATCTATGGAACTACCATGGAACATCCTACGTAATCGTTGCGATCTTATAGCGATCTAGTCTCTGAAATGTCGACAGTCCGCGGCGAAGGGGAGAGAGAGCTGCTCGCCGAGAAGCCACTGGAAAATTATCTGGTCTATATGGCCTTACGCAGAATACAATTTCATCGGTTTAGGAATTATTGTACAATACCGTACTCGCGTGTATAAATTCTTCACACATTGGAACTCCGAATTTGCGCGTCTTTAATGAAAGCAGAATGCATATAAATCTTGCTCTAAATATCTACATCTTTGCAAGATAGCGAAAAAAAAAGATTATACTTTAGCAGATATTATAATTAAGAGTATACGAGTTTAAATCGTGTAAGTATACATGCACATTTAATCGCAAAATGTGCTCTCATCGAAAAGCCGATTTATCAAGACAGACGTAGAAGCATTCGTTCCTTTATACATAAGAAAAAGCCATCTATACACGAGTATATACTACATTACGCGTGGAAAGCTCGAAAGCGCCGCGGACAATGTGCCAAAAAGCGAGAGAGAGAGAGAGAGAAAGAGAGAGAGAGAGACGTGCAAAAAAGCGTTGGCAGTGGAAACATTCAAGGTTACGGAGTGTGCGAAGTAGGGAACGAAGAAAAAAGAAGATACGACGAAGCTTTCGGGCGGGCGGCGCGGAGATCCGCGCGTAGCGGGTCTCCGGGGGGCGCAAGAAACCGCCTTAGTGCCGGATCAATAGAAGAAGGGGGAGTACTCTCCTGCCATGGAGGGAGCGGGCGGGGTGCAGGCCGAGCTGGCGGTGAGAAAGAGAGGGAGAGAGAGGGGGGGAAGAAGCGAAGAGGGTAACACAACGGCAAGGGTGGCAAAGCGCGGGGGAGGGGGGCAAAGTGGAAAAATCTTAGGTTCTCCGCGCGCGAGGAGAGACGAGGTCCTCGCGACGCGCGGGG